GGCAACAATATTCCACATATAGAATATAAACGTTTTCAAAGGCTATGCCTGAGTATTATTTAAACGCAACATGACCGTTTAATTTTTTTTTAAATGTGAATATTTATCATGACGTAGGTAATTGACATTGTAACAGTTATTTGCATAGCCCTGGGCAAAGTTGTTACTTTTCGGCTGACGTCTTCGAATGTTTCCTGCACAAGGAAGGGTTGAACACGCATCTGAACCTCTTCCAAATAAAAAAGCTAAGTCCCAAGACTCGTTTTGACAGTGGACAGATTTACTGGATTATCTGTATGGTTGTATAGTTGCCCCCTTGTACTATGTAGTGATATGAAGTAAGCCGTACGTTATCAGTAAGTAATCAAGAAGTCTTGGGGCGTATCAAGAACCAGACCCGTAATACGACAGCTCTCCAGGAAGTTTGTCAGAGAGCTGTTAAAGGGTGCCAGAATTGAGGTTGTTTAATTACTCCTGTTTGTTTGTTTGTCTGCGTGTGACATATGATCTGGCTGTCAGAAACGAAATCGTACAGTCTAAAGGAAAACCCTCTTGGGTATTTCAGGTTTTTTGTGATAAAGTCTGAAATAAATTATTATTAAATTAAAGATGGATTGATTTGCGTAGGTCGTAGCAGTAACTCCTATTGGAACGGTATAAGATAAAGTACTGATTAACAAAGGAATAATTGGCGGGTATTACACCGCCCAAAACACTGCACAAGAATCAATGCATTGTACATGAATTGTTTTATGTTATATGATATTCGCTTACGTGCGGCTCACGAAATCTTGTTTATTCTACTATTGTGACGTAGTTTGGTTGCAGAAAGCGTGCAACCTAATACATATTTCTTTCCTGCATAGATTGTATTGAATTGATTGTACTAGACTTTTATCCAGGCGTTCAAACTGCAGGTTTATCTGCTCTTGTATCGTGAATGGTCTAACATGGCATCCTGTGTGTCCTGTACTATAAATCCTGTTTCCACAATAGAGCTTTCCTTTCCAAGCTCACATGCGTCAATCAATTACAGCGGGTGATGTTATGACGCACTGACTGAACAAAGCTCGTACCATGCCATCGAATGTTACGGCTGCAGCTTGAAATAACGTGCGCCTTTGCAAGCCACTGCCTAGCGGCTGCAGCAAAAACATATCAACCGGTTCGTTACTGATAGCCATAGTCAAGCATTTGTGGACGCCATATTTCAGGCAGTGGATCGCTAAAATAATTCTCCTTCCAACGAGAGATATCTTGACCGAGAACAAATCACCGTGGCACAACCATCAGATACAATTGGTAAGCTGACGAACGTAGAGGCTCAATAAACGTTCTGGATTAGCCATGGGAACAACAGTATGTAAGGCGCTCTCTGT